AATAAGACGAAGCGGGCTTCTAGTTGTACCCTGCCACTGAATTTTATACGAGCTCTGCCAATCTTACCACTGTAGTATCCATGAGTTAATTTGCTCGCAAAAGCACGGGTGTAGGAAGTCAATTGCCTAGGTTTTTACCTTCAAAGGATAGCAAATTAGGATGAAAATGAATAAGAGCTAGTTTACGTGGTTTCACATACCAGCTATCAATAAGAGCTGAACTATGCAATCGGAGTAAAAGGGGTGTTGACGGCCCTATTATTTGGTAAAGCCTGGCTATATTCCCTCGTACCGTCATTGCTTGAGTGGTACGGAAGTGGTAGCAGTAATTCGTTCACCATGTGTCCAGAGTACTCACGCCGTTCTGATCTATTTTAGCCAACTAGGGGTCATCTCTGTTGTTGTTGGGTAGGCACGGCCCGACATCACCTCCGACTTTTTCAGCTACACCAAGGCATTTCTACCCACCATTCATATGTAATGGCAGTCGGCCTCGTGACTCAAGGGTATTCCGATGTGCCAGCAGATTGCTATAGAAAATCTGCCGCTATCGGGTATAGAAATGATATATCTAGTCGCGGTTTGTAGAGACTGTTTTTACCTGGTTTCACAGGAATACGGAACCAAGACCCTGAATACGTAACGATTGCTATCCAAAAATTTTGGTACATCCGTTTTTATTCACCTCGTGTTCGCTCACGACGTTCCTTCAACAGCGTTTGTGGTGCTACTGTCGAATTCCAGTATCCGCCCTCTCTGAGTTGCTTTCCTGATTACTGTCCTTCAGTTAGAATCCAAAGCAGTGGGATGTCAAAAGAGGAGAATATGCTACTTTTTGAGATTTCAGGAAACCGCACGCTGGAAATCATCGGCTATACTGTTGACAGAGAAGGCTTTAGATCCAATTTCAGCTTAACGTGCTACTTTTTAAAAGCGGACTCAATTGATCGGTTGTGAGTGGTTGACTGGGATATATTACGCTTATTCTAAGCGAGACACTTTTTCAAGCCAGCTTCAATAAACAATCGGTTGGGTTCTCGCTTAAGGTTAGGCAGGAACCTATGTATTCACATCCCACCCATCTCTCTCTCTACAGCCATTACACATACATTTAATACAATTGGTAAAGTTGTGGAGAGCTCGCAACCTTTTTAAGTGGCTGGAGATTATTCAAAGTTCTCAACAGCAAGTTCACACAGTTTGTGAGTCGAATTCCTTTTTCATTTGACGCTGCTAGGAAGGCTGTTGGGATCCCCAGGTCGTCGTCAGGCTTTGGAAAAATGTGCAATGAACCATTTAAATTTCAAAGGTGCTAGTAAAATTATATAGTCGTCTATCGTGAGTGCTAATTGGCGGCTGCAGTTTGCGTCAGTCAATTGTGGACAGAATTAGAATCACGTAATTGTGAATTGGTAACTGTAATTTGCGTCAGTCGGGGGTAGAACATTAATTGTCATCCGGTGTGTGCTCTAATTAGCAGTTGCGGTTCACTTAGGTCCGTGATGACCGGCTCTCGTGCCCTTCATCTTGCTTTGAGATGTTTGTACACTCCATCTAACTTGACATGTCCGTTGATGCATGAATCATGGGAGTGCGTGGCCTCAAATAATTCCCGGCCTTTAAGAGAGACAGACTCCGACGATGCGTGTTTTGTCCCATGCACAGGTGTGTCCTGCAGCAAGCGATGCACAGCCACTTCGGACAAATGGTCACGTCTCTTCACTGCCAAGTGGTGCTTGTGTGAAGACGCGTTTTCCTGTTTGGCCACAATATATGGTATCCCAAGCTTCGCGTGGGATCTTGCAAAAGACGTTTTTTTTCTTATCGAGATAGCCAATCCTATCCTCAGGGTGTACAAGCTGGGTGCATTAAGTAGTTATCGGTTTGTGCGCCACGTTTTTTAGTATTTCCGCGAGTGCCTCAAGGGAGGACTCGCCATGTGTTTGAATTGGGCCCTTGGGTGGAACTATCTGGCCCCTTTTTCTGGCATTTTATTTGTTTCATGCATCTGTGTGCAGTCTCCGGGGTAACCATTGCGGAAAAACAAATCAAATTGAGCTTCATTCGGTAGGTTTCTTTGTCAGAGCAGTGTGTCTTCGCTCGGCGCAGCAGACTGTTGATGGCACGATCAATACAAGCCCTGTTGTCATTGTTCGTAGTCCCCGTTCTACGTAGAGGTCTCATCTGGGCATAGAAAGGAAGCACCCGTTTTCTAATATGAGAAATTTAATCCGACTGCTGCTGATATCGGGTGAGTTGACGGGCATAGGCGTGCAACGGGCGCGCACTGCCTGCCTGCGGACC